CCCTGACCCTCTGTCTGGAGAGTGCTGATTGGCCCTGTGCTGATCACATGCACTCTCCCAAGAAAAAAAAAAAAAACACCACCAAACTAAATATGTGCAGAGTGACTCCAAACCTATATTCTATCATGAGATATTTAGGGGACACTGGAAGAAGGGGAGGATCAGAGAAGCCAGGATCAAACATCCTTTTTACACAATGCAAAGGATTAACCCCTTAGGTTCCACTGTGAATACAAAACTCACGCTTTACTGCATATACAGACTGATTTTACAACTGTGGGTTTAGTAACACTTTAATTATACTTTAATTTTTAAAGCTGATGGTTCGTGAGGAACTAAACCCTCCAATTCTTTACAGCCAAGGAAGCTGCCATCTTTGCCTCTGTTTGATCTGCAGTTACCGTGATGCTGCACATGTGATCAGTTATGACACCAGACATTTGATGACTTGACAGCTCAGCTGAGAGCTGACGTACACTCACCGGCCACTTTATTAGGTACACATGTTCAGTTGCCTGGCAACACAAATTGCTAGTCAGCCAATCACATGGCAGCAACTCAAGTGCATTTAGACATCTAGACGTGGTGAAGACGACTTGCTGAAGTTCAATCCAAGCAATCAGAATGGGGAAGAAAGGGGATTTAAGTGACTTTGAATGTTTTTAAAAAACTGCTGATCTACCAGGATTTTCACGCATAACCATCTCTAGGGTTTACAGAGAATGGTCCTAAATAGAGAAAATCTCCAGTAAGTGGCAGTTGTGTGGACGAAAATGCCTTGTTGATGTCGGAGGAGAATGAGCAGACTGGTTCGAGATGATAAAAAGACAACAGTAACTCATGTCAATATGGTTTCCAACACCTTGTTTAATCTATGCCACAAATAGTGATGTGCTTTATGTTCGAGTCGAACGTAAGCTCTACTCGAACATGGGCCATTCGTGTGTTCACTGGACACACAAACGGGAAGGGCGTTCGGCGGGCTGTTTGTCCCTTGTGCCCCACAATGCACTGCGCCCTGACAGTGCATTGTGATTGGCCAAGACAATGCACCTGACAACAGGTGCCACATACTCATTCACATCAGGGGGGGGGTGGGATCTGGGGACCCCCTTTTTAAAATGGGCTTCCAGATTCTAATAAGCCCCTGCCCACAGACCCCCACAACCAGCCAGGGTTGTGGAAAAGAAGTGCTTGTTCCCATCAACATGGGGACAAGGTGCTTTGGAGGGGGGAGCTTGGATCTCTATACTGATATGGACTGGGCAATGTGTTCAGAACGTTAGGATGCCCCATCATTTGATGGAATTGAAAATGATCAACCTACAGAGGACTGAATTCAAAGCCCCCCTCAAAAATCAAAGTGAAAAAATTATGCAGCAGGCAAGTCCATTTTGCTGAAATTTAATTGCAGCAACTCAGAATGGTCCTCAGTAGTCTGTATGGCCCCCACGTGCTTGTATGTATGCCTGACAACGTCGGGGCATGCTCCTAATGAGACAACGGATGGTGTCCTGGGGGATTCCCTCCCAGATCTGGACCAGGGCATCACTGAGCTCCAGGACAGTCTGAGGAGCAACCTGGCGGCATCAGATGGACCAAAACATGATATCCCAGAGGTGTTCTATTGGATTTAGGTCAGGAGAGCGTGGGGGCCATTCAATGGGATCAATTCCTTCATACTCCAGGAACTGCCTGCATACTCTCACCACATGAGGCCGGGCATTGTCGTGCACCAGAAGGAACCCAGGACCCACTGCACCAGCGTAGGGTCTGACAATGGGTCCAAGGATTTCATCCTGATACCTAATGGCAGTCAGGGTGCCATTGTCTAGCCTGTAGAGGTCTGTATGTCCTCCATGGATATGCCTCCCCAGACCATCACTGACCCACCACCAAAATGATCAAGCTGAACGATGTTACAGGAAGCATAATGTTCTCCATGGCTTCTCCAGACCCTTTCCCGTCTGTCACATGTGCTCAGGGTGCACCTGCTCTCATCTGTGAAAAGCACAGGACACCAGTGGTGGACCTGCCAATTCTGGTGTTCAGTGGCAAATGCCAATCGAACTCCATGGTTCCAGGCAGTGAGCACAGGGCCCACTTGAGGACGTCGGGCCCTCAGGCCACCCTCATAAAGTCTGTTTCTGATGTTTGGTCAGAGACATTCACACCAATCATTTGTGCTCAGATAAGAGATTTGTGCAGGAGGGGGGATGGGGCGCTATTTGTGCTGCAAAGGGTAATAGGGATGATGGGGGGGGGATTAATGCTAGGGGAAGGAATGGGGTGATATATGCTAGGAGTAGGAGGGAGTTTTGGTGGAGAAGGAGGTGTTGTTGGGAATTTGTTCTAAAAAGGGGGGGGGGTAAGGTGGGGGATTTTATACTGGATGGGTAATATGGAGGGGTTTTAGATAGAGGAGGCATTTGGGGAAATTTGTCCTAGGTGGGGAGATGAGGGGGATTTGTGCTAGGAGAGGGGATTAGGGGTGTTGTGCTAGGAGGGGTAATTTGGGGGGTAATTTGTGCTAGGAGGGGGGATTTGGAGGGGTTGTGCTAGGAGGGGAGGCTTTGTGCTAGGAGGGGGGATTTGAGTGGGAAAGAAGGATTTGTGCTGGGAATGGTAACTTGGAGGGGGTTGTGCTAGGAGTAGGGATTGGGGGGATTTATACTAGGAGGGGGGATTTGAGGGAGAGAATTTTAGGAGAAAGTGCATGTGTGTTAGGAGTGGTGAAGCAGAACTACAGGTGAAGTTTTATTTTTGTTTTGGGGGGGGGGGGGGTGCAAGTAGCTGGTCTTGCCTAGGGCATAAAATAGTCTAGCACTGGTCAGGCCTGTTGCTCCACAACAGGGGTGGGCAACTGTGGCCCTCCAGCTGTTTGTGTACTACAAGTCCCATCATACCTCTGCCTTTGGGAGTCATGCTTTTAACTGTCAGTTTTGCAATGCCTCATGGGACTTGTAGTTCTACAACAGCTGGAGGACCACAGTTGCCCCCTGCTCTAGACATTGACCCACATGTCGCATTATGGTAAATTCCGCCTTAGCGACAGGGTCTGTCTAATTGAAGGCTGTAGACCTCCCGCTGTCTCTATTGATGTGTAATATGTTTATTAGCCATTTATATGAAGTTATCAGGTTAAAAGAAATGTATAGTCTTTTAATTTTCTAACATGAATGCAGAAGGTTTGCCGTCTAAGCGATACCCGAAGTTATTAAAGATGCAAGCTTTGGGGATGACATAGATCACTTCTTCAGGCTTCATACATTTATAAATATATGAAGCCTGAAAAAGGGATCTAAGGTATCCCCACAGCTTGCATCTTTAATAAGTTAGCCAGTAAAGGGCATCACTTGGACTTGAAACCTTCTGCATTAATGATGGCTAACACAATAAATTACTCTTCTGTTGCATTTTCTAGCATGTAAAAGAGATAGGCATACTGCAAAACATCTAATCAATGTGTGTTACTTTTTTTAAATACTTATTTCATTGTATAATATATTTTTAAAAGATTTTTTTTTTACATATAAAAAAGTCATTTTAACATATATTTTTACGTATATTTGTAAATGCATTCCAAAAATGTAGATTTCTGTTTTTAAAGACATACAGTATATTTGAAATGTATTTTTAAAAATATTTCCATATATTTTGTAATAAAAATACATTTCAACATGCAGTATATATTTTATATATATATATATATATATATATATATATATATATATAGATATAAATATATTTTGAAATATATTGAATATGGCCAAAATTGTAGCATTTCAAATATATGGCAATATTTTTGGGAAGAATATTTAAAAATATATTTCAGATATATTTTTCTTCCATGTGGAATGATGCAGCCATATTAGTTCACAAAACCAGGCTTTGCTCCCTGTTTTATTGTGGTGTACAAAGGTTGTACATTGCTGCACTTTCTCTTAATGTGTGAGTCGCACAATGTACTGTATATGTTTAATAATATGAAAAAAAACATGGAAAACTGAATTTGTCCAAAATAATTACTTCAAAGAGGATCTGAAATAAAAAAGTAACACTTGAAGTTTTAATTTTGCCTAAGCAGTATCCTAAAAAAAAATATCTACCTTTGCCTGGAATCTCCTGAAAAAAGAGCAGTGCATTTTCTGTGCCTAGGCATCCATGTGCCTACAGCCTGATATCTGCAGTCTGACATCTAAGGCACTGCTGCCTCTGACTGCTAGTCTTACCAAATTTGGAGTGAAATTTTGGTGGCATTACTGTGTTGATTACTGTTCTCTTTGCTGGAGTTGAAGCTGTTTGTGAGGACCTTCAGTGCAAGGATCTCCCTGCTTCTGCTCCATTCTTTCCATGGATCTGTGCTGTCTGTGTCGGCTTGATTTTTCATTCATCAATCAGATCACCAAACATCAGGGGGCCTCTCTGACATGATGAAGCAATGCCCTGTTCTTCTATCAAGATGGTCACCTCCACACAGAGACACAGTGCAGAACAAGGCATGGTTAGCCCATTATGGGGAAAGATCAGCACAGAAAGACTTCCACAGAAAGACTTCCACTTGGGAGTGAAAAGGTTAAGCTGTGTAGTTCTAGTTGTCATATAAATAGTTAACTACAATAAGAATCCCACTGAGTTCTTGCTTGTTCACTCGACATTCTAAATGTTGGTGGTTTTTTTGTTGCAATCACTTTGTCCACATACATGATCAGACTACGTGGTGGAGTTGGAATAATTCAGATGATATGACTATTCCTGCCCACGTATGGACACCAGTAGGCTGGAGAGAGGTCTTGGAGCTGTGCCTATAACCACCCATAAAAATTCAGGAAACAATTCCCATTTTTTATGCGAAGCGTTTGCGCAGGGCTGGCATCAACTGGTATTTTGGCACAAACCTACCAATCATGATTAGATTGGAAAATATCAAAACAATGACATGATTGCTTCCAAATCCTCAGGCTGCAGATCGAAACAAATAAACGAGGCTGCTGTATTACATGCTTTAAGTATTTATTTGATTTTATTTGCTTTATATTATTTATATTACTCATTATCATTGCATCAATATATGATAGGGAGCTGTAAGAAAAATAGAACATTGTAAATTATATATTATATATAACATTTAGATACACTGAACATTTTATATATATGGAATAAATGACTACATAACTACTTGAGCTCTGGAAGATTTTACCCCCTTCATGACCAGGCCATTTTTTTTTTTGCTATTCGGCACTGCGCTACCTTAACTGGTAATTGCAAGGTCATGGAATGCTGTACCCAAACAAAATGTCTATAATTTTTTTCAGACAGAGTTTTCTTTTGGTGGTATTTGATGACCACTGAGTTTTTTATTTTTTGTTATAATTGAAAAAAAGACTAAAAATTGTGAACAAAAACAATAGGTTTTAGTTTTTGCTATAAAACATATCCAATAAAAAAAAATAAAAAAATAATAATTTCTGCATAAATTTTGGCCAAAATGTATTCTGCTACATCCCAACAGGTGTATATTGATTGGTTTGCATGAAAGTTATAGAGCCTACAAACTATGGTATATATTAGCATTTATATTTACTTTTTTATACTTCTAATGGCGGTGATCAATGACTTACAGTGGGACTGCGATAGTGCAGCAGGCAATCTGACACTAACTGACTCTGAGAGGGAACTGACTAACTGCCACTCACATCTCCAGTGACAGTCATACCGTGATCAGTGATAATACTATACACTGTCACTGTACTAATGACACTGGCTGGTTAATATGCTGGGCAATCAAGGGGTTAAATGTGTGTCTAACAATGTGTAATGTGTGTATTATGTGCTAATTTTACTAACAGTTCTCTTTGATTCTCATCCCTGCTTTGCAGGGATGAGAAAGAGAAAGATTGTTCCCTCTGTACAGAGCGCGACACAGGGTTCTGTGTTGTGATTGGACACACCACTGATTCAATAAAAAAAAAAAAAAAAATAATAATTTCTTCATAAATTTTGACCAAAATGTATTCTGCCACATCCCAATAGGTGTATATGGATTGGTTTGTTACAGTGCCTACAAACTATGGTATATATTATAATTTTTATTTACTTTTTTTATACTACTAATGGCGGTGATCAATGACTTATAGTGGGACTGCGATAGTGCGGTGGGCAATCTGACACTCACTGACTCTGAGGGGGAACTGACTAACTGCCACTGACATGTCCAGTGACAGTCATACCATGATCAGTGATAATACTGGTGACGGGAGTCACTTTGGGTGGGGGACCCATGAAACCCAGCTTACTTTGGAGAGGTGGGGAGACCCCTGTCTCAGCTCCCCATATCCCTCTTATGTGTAAGTCACCCTGTGCCTGTTAGGGGTACAGGGTGATCTGTCCTCATATTGGGGTGGGGGGTTGTTGATTGTTTAATGCCATGTGGTTGCATCCCATTGTTCTATTGTGTTTTTTGCTTGGGAGCAAACTGTTATAGGATGTATGTGTTTATGTGTATTATCTTGGTGGGGGGTGTCTCCAGCAGCCCTCCCTCCTGATGAGACTGTCTGTTGGTGTGTCTCTTGTTACTACCCCACCCTGTGTCATTATGCAGGGAGGGGGTATTGTCCCCTTGAGTGCATATATCTTGTATCTGTGTTAAAATAAACTAGCCTACTTCCTGATTTACTTCAAGACTGGTGCCGTCTAGTCTTGTTTGGTCAGCTGTGGTGTCTGTGGTCGGTGTTCGGACAGGGAAGCGGAAGTACCCAAGCGCAGACTGGGGTTGATTCCGTTACAATACTATACAGTGTCACTGCACTAATGACACTGGCTGGGAAGGGGTTAATATGCAGGTCAATCAAGGGGTTAAATGTGTGTCTAACAAAGTGTAATGTGTGTATTATGTGCTGATTTTACTAACAGATCTCTTTGTCTCTCATCCCTGCAAAGCAGGGATGAGAAACAGAGAGATTTTTCCCTTTGTACAGAGCCCTGTGTTGATTGTCAACACAAGGTTCTGGGCTGTGATTGGGCACACCACTGATCAGCAGGTCCTAGCCACGAATCATTGGCTGGGACTTGTTGACAGACAGACTCCCTCTGTGTACAATCGGCGCTGGTGGCAGTGATGTACCAGTACGTCGTAGTGTGTTCACGGGCTGCCCCCCCAGTGCATGGCAGGCAGTGAGTCCAGAAGTGGTTAATATACATAGTGGTTCGGCACAAAGGAATTATTTGCATGTCTCTACCCACTATGAATTGATGACTAATGCTCTTATTTGTGGGACAAGTAATAGCCTTCTAAAAATTGAAGCAGTAAGAGTAGGAAACCAATTTTGATCATTAAAATAAATGCAATATTATATATACATTAGAAGGGGTACTATACATCAGTGTACCTTTATCTCTCTCATATTATACAAAAGAACGCCCTCTAATACCTATGGCCTTCTTCAAATATGAACATTCAGCATAAAGAAAGTACAGATAATCAGACAAGCAGAAAAGAACAAATGGGTCAGATAAAATAACTAAAAAAAAATAATAGAAAAATAAAATATAAAACAGACAAAAGTAAAGCAAGGTAACTCCAAGTGCTTTTAGTCAAATGTAAAAGAAGAAAAACTATTAAAAAATATATGAACAGTGATAATAACATAGCAGTCAACAGCAGTTATTGGTAATAAGCGACTGTGGAAGTCTGTTAAGGGAACATTGGGTCAGTGGAGGGGCATCTGCACAACAGCATCCAGTGTATGAATTGTTCCCTGACTGTGAAGAAGTGTCTCTTCCCTTTAAAGGACCAAAGTCTGAAAAAGTATAACTATGGGGGTTACTAAAGGAATCAATCGCCCTCATTATGTAGATTACTTTTCGTTCCTTTAACTTTTTTCTTTACATTAGTACACAGACCAAGCTGTCCAGCAAAAGTGACAGTGACAAGAGTTGGGACATTTACAGTACTGCCATTGGCAGCTACACATTTGTTAAAAAAGAAAAAAAAAAGATTTAAAGGAGAGGAACGTAAGGTGACCACAGTAAGCACCCATATAGCTTTTTTTTTTTTTCGAAACCCTATCATTGTTATTTATTTAGGTCACTCTGACCTACAAAGCCATTCACAACACTGCCCCTAACTACCTCACCAACCTGATTCCCAGGTATCACCCTACCCGTACCCTTCGCTCTTCACAGGACCTCCTTCTATCTTGCCCCCTGGTCTCCTCCTCCCACGCATGTCTACAAGACTTCTCCAGGTCCTCCCCCATCCTCTGGAACTCACTACCCCAATCCATCAGACTGTCACCTTCCCTCCTCACCTTCAGGCGCTCCCTGAAAAACCCACCTCTTCAGGGAAGCCTACCCCACCCTCACCTAACAGCCGTTCTCCTTCATTCCTCCTACCACTCCATCCCCCACAGCCACTTCCTCCTGTACCTCTACCCCCTCCCTCCTAGATTGTAAGCTGGAAAGAGTAGGGCCCTCTAACCCCTCGTGTGCTGTTTGTAGTTGCTGTACTGTTTCATGTATTGTCCCCCCCTCTATTGTACAGCGCTGAGCAAACCCTTTGGCGCTATATAACCTCGATGTAATAATAATAATAAAAGTTCAAAGCAGATCTCAAGGTTCAAAAGGAAAAAAATACCTGTTTAAAAAAGGGTGAAAAATTTAACTTTTTTTTCGTTTTAATGGTTTTTGACGAAGTTTGAAGAGCATTTAATATTAACACTAAAATAAAATAAACAATTTGTAATTTATTAATAAGAAAGGATGGAACAAGAAAAAAAAGGCGAGAAAAAGGATATAGGGTATTTTTCACTAGATAAAAGTTAAAATAAGATGGATGAATTTTTTTTTTTAAACTAGACATGCGTTTCATTTTATTATGATTCGTTTTTCAGACAAAAATTTCACTTTTGGAGATTTGGATGTGTACGAATCTCCAAATGGACATAGTAGCAAATGATGGGTCACTTTTCCTCCCACAGACACCTATGATGGGGCACTATTCCTCCCACTGATACCAATGATGGGGCACTATTCCTCCCACTGATACCAATGATGGGGCACTATTCCTCCCACTGACACCAATGATGGGGCACCATTCCTCCCAGTGACACCAATGATGGGGTACCATTCCTCCCACTGACACCAATGATGGGGCAGTATTCCTCCCACGGACACCATTGATGGGGCACTATTCCCCCCACAGACACCAATCATGGGGCATTATTCCTCCCACTGACACCAATGATGGGGCACCATTCCTCCCACTGACACCAATGATGGTGCACTATTCCTCCCACTGACACCAATGATGGGGCACTATTCCTCCCACAGACACCAATGATGGGGCACTATTCCTCCCACTGACTCCAGTGATGGGGCACCATTCCTCCCAGTGACACCAATGATGGGGTACCATTCCTCCCACTGACACCAATGATGGGGCACTATTCCTCCCACAGACACCAATGATGGGGCACTATTCCTCCCACTGACTCCAGTGATGGGGCACTATTCCTCCCACTGACACAAACTATGGGTCACTATTCCTCCCACAGACACCAATGATGGGGCACTGTTTCCCCCACTGACTACAGTACAGAGGATGTTTTTTCAGTCTTTTGAAGAATAAAAAAAACAATGGCTTTCCTGATCCCTGTCTCCGTGAAGTACTAACAATGACTGAGGGAACATGGGAGAAATGGGGAGGGTCTAGCTAGGACTGAACTAACTAGCACTAAACAGGAGGGAAGGCAGGGGGAGAAACCAATAAAACTAGTTGCGGTGGCCCAAAATCTCTACTAGATGTCAGCATGCTACAAAACTATGATGCCTAGTTTAGTTCAATACAACAAAAATAGTGGGACAGAACAAGTATAGATAAACTTTCTAAACGAAAGGTCAGTGTACAAGTCCTGCAGACTTTAGGGGGGCCAGACTGTGGCTATTAGGACCAGAAATTGTCCTTGGCATCTTTGGTATTGGGGGAAGGAAAAGCGCCCCATCGCTGGTGTCTGTGGGAGGAAGATTGCTCCAATGTTGGTGTCAGTGGGAGGAATAGCTCCCCATTGTTGGTGTCAGT